GCTTTGCTCCTTTACGTCTACTCTTATTGTCTTAATTCTTATAACCAAATTATAAAGAGTTGAAAAATTTTATCATATTACTTATCTGTCCTTCGAAGATATGAAGACCAAGATGGTGTGGCCTCCAGTATGGTCGCTATCTCCTTTCGATTTATAGAAATGGGTTAACCTTATAGTCGCAACTTGGTCTTGTTGCCAGGATGACTTCGTAGAACGCACCTTGTCCGAAGTCCTCTGCCATAGTAGTTATCATAATTCACAACAAAAGACTGTGGACTTATCACGTTATCAGACGTTATTTGTCCTTGTTGGTAACTTAAACAAGTCCTCTGGCGACAATAATGGTCACAATCTGGTTTCCCCAATAATCAAAAGAATGTAATTATATAATAGAAGTTTTTTGACCTTGTTTTCGCGATTTGGTCATATTGGCAAGAAGACCTAAGGGAACCCACCTTGTCTGGAGTCCATAGTATGCATAATTTCCAGATTCTGACCGTAGACTTAGTACATTACCAGACGTTTCGCCGGCATCGTATTCAGCAGCTTTAGTGAGCTTTGCCATTCTTAGCACCACACTACAACTCGTCAGAGACAGAGGAAGTCAACCCTTTGACCAAATGTGTGATAAACAGTTGTGGTATCTCTCCTTCTGTCCTGGGATATTCACCTATCCTATATCCTCATAGCACAATTCCTTACTTGTTATCTAGACCTATTTGAAATCTATTCACACTCCCCGCTGGCTTACTCGTCCCTACCACTGTGCCGGGCATGTTGATCCAAAGCTGCGATTAAATCCTCAATCTTCTACCTTCGGGTTCTATCATATTCCCCTTTTGCTCCGACTCTGAAAATTATCATGCATACTATGGACTCCGGACAAGGTGTATTCCTCTAGGTCTTTCTGCCAATATGACCAAGTTGCGAAAACAAGGTAAAACAAATTATATACAATGAAAAGAGACCGCGACCATACAAAAGGCCACATCATCCTGGTATTTATATCTTCGAGTAATTATATAATATTTCTTGAATTCTAAAAATTATTGAATCATGAGATGCCCCCAGAAGGACTTGCTGTATAGTATTGATATATCGAATATTTCTAGTAGAACTAAGCAAGTCCGTCTGAGGTCATATAACGGCTTAATTATTTCTATAATTCAAGAAAATACTATGCAATTACATTCTTTGATTGGGAGGAATATCAGATTGCCGCAGTGTCTATGCTCTTAGCTAGGAGGGCGGTGCGCCGAGGACTTACTCGCACAAATCTATTCACAGCTCCTAAGAGAGAATAAGAATGGATATAAGATAATTATATCAAAGTGAGATTTTGAAGACTTTGATCGAATAAGCTCGGTTAGAGTAAATTCTGAATAAAGTAGTGAAATCATCAGATTAGGTAAGAAAAAGAAGACATGTCCAGTAGAAGTTATTAAAAGGAAAATAAGCATGCCATAGTTTGGAAGTTTGGAGAGAATACGATCTAGGCAACACTTGACAGACTGCCGATAGGACAGGACTGGGAGCAATCAAGAGTTATCAAGTAATTTCTTAGAGGGTCCCTGTTGACAGGCAAAAGTCGAAAGAACGAGATCAAACCAATTCGAAAACACAAATTCCTAACCTTTATATCCAAATATAGAAACATTTAAACAAAGATTAAAAAATGGAACAGCTTGTGTACAATAAAGTTACCTGGGGACTGATAATTTGGATCCAGACTGAAATTGTCTGGCCTTTGCTGAGACAGGCTTGGCTCCAGATTTTTTAAGATGCTGAGTTGCTGGAGGGGATTCCGATTCTGACTCAACTTCAGAATCCACCGAATTGCGCCCGGTATCTCTTGCAGATCGGCAATGTTGCAGCTGAACATCCTTTCCTATAGCAATTTGAGCAAGTCGCTCAGCCAGACGTGGACGACGTAGCCTTCCAGCATAGCGAACGGCTAATTGAATGGTATTTGGGTCAGGCATAAGACGAGCGATGTAAAGACTGGCCCAGTCGGCCTCCAATTTTGCTGCCAGCTTTAAAGAGAAAAGGGTGACCATGTGACATAAGAATACAAGTGTGAGTGTATAGGAACAAGGGATAAGTAAATTCCAATTTCAACTTGCTCACTTAGAGCAAAACTACATTAATATGGAAGCTAAATGCATCCTTTGGACTAGCTTCCAATCATAGGTATCAAGAATGTGCAGTCCAACATTTAAACTAGAGATATAAGAATTCCCGTCGTATGTTTTAGCCATGAATTAAATGACTGAATAAAAATGTAAGTTTCAAATAAATTTTTTCCAATAAATATAAAAATCTCCAAAATTAGAATTAACAATAGTTTAATGGTCCGAAAAAGGATTATTTAGAGACAAGTGGAGAAATGCCAATCAATAGGCTCTGCAGTAAAAGCCAAAGAAGCCACACATTCAAAAATCATAAGAATTAGAGTAAATTCCAATAAGGACTTGAGTGCTAATGAGAGGAACACGATAATAGAGTGAGATTAAGAGGCCAAAAAAGAATATAGTTCGTTTCTTAACATAAATTAATGGATGAAGGCAAAACTATGTATACTTACTGGGCCGTTCGGGCTAGCCAATTGGAGGCCGAGACTTACTGTTTTTATTTATGAAAAAATAAAATAAATAAAAAGAGAACAGAAGGACAGCTAATTCATAATTTAAATATAAGTAAAGAAATTCGAAATGAAGAGTTGTAACTAAAAATCGAATAGTAGGGTATATGGCTATGGTCGATCTCTATGGATATAGTTAAACTGATAAGGCCATTGCATCTTAGGCGATCAGCTGCCTACCTAAATCACGAGTATTTAATTTTTCTAGTACTTAGGTACTTGGATATATGTATTTCTCACACTTCCATCTCTTTTAGTGAAAAATAAATAAAGTGAAAAAAAGAACTCATCGCTATTTTTACTAAGGGTCATCTATCGTAATATGTATCAAAAAAATTTCATTTGAATTTTTACTTAGTCTAATTTAATCTCAAATAGCTTATCGAACGCATATCTAAGAGGTAGTGTTAACCTAGTAAAAATTACTTAAGGAGTTAAAATCATATCCAATAAAAATGAATTTGGGAATGTCTGAAGCAACGAGTTAATGTTACATCGCAACACGAAGGTACTTATCACTACAAGCGCCTTTTACAAAGTTAAAACAATTCCTGGCACCTCGTGGAGCACAAGTTTAGAGTTTGCCAGAAGGGACCGATTATTAAAATGAGAGTATTAGGTGAAAGCGTCCAAAACATTTTCGATTTAGATATACAAATTTAAATGGATTATTTTAAGATGATAATAAAGAACAAAGAAGTATTAAATAAAGTATGAGATGGTGACGTAACTTGATAGTTTGCCTCATTAGCATAGATTGTAAGGTGATGATGAGTAAATGGGAAAATTAAGTATAGAACGAACAAGATCAGGGAGAATAAATAAAGGAGACAAGCAATTTAGTTAATAGGATTAGGTAATAATTCAACATCAAAGCGCTTTTAATATGCAGACCTAGAATCTTAAAAATAAAGTAGGATTTTGAGACTCAGATATATGAGCTGCGTTCACCCTATTTTT